ACGGGTAAAGAGTGGCAGTACTTTTTCTTTGTTAAGTTTACTGGGCGATACGAAAGTATGTATTGATTTTCACGCGATGGGGCTAAATATTACACCGAATCGTCACTGTTTACAGAACCAAGAGGTGAAATCAAAACTTTGTCTTATGCTGCCTACAGCTTTCGAGACTACGAAAAGTATTTACTTAAGCACAAAATTTGTTGTTATGAATTTATAATAACGAAAAAAATATTCGTTAATTTGGCTATTTTTCTTAGTCATAACTAAAATTTTGATTTAGTTTTTTTAGCATTATTTTTTTGACCATTTAGCCTTTTATCTGAAAAAGTGCTGGCAACACTAGTGTTAGAAGAGCAGTTTACTCTTCATCATGGTGGGGGTGTTGGAATAAAGAGATATACCAGGCAATGAGTTAGCTGATGAGCTAGCACTTTCGCTGTCTTAGAAGCGGTGGACCAGGCACGCGGTGGCACTTTGCAAAATCTTTTGTTAAAATAAAATTTTTAAGACCCACTTGACCATTGACTTTAGTTTTCAACTTGTCAATTCTATTTAGTGGTAATTTACGTACATACATAAGTAGACTTTAGACGCTTTTAAAAAATTTTGCTTACCCCTGCCTACTCTTACATTTACATACTAAATATGTGTAAACGAATAACAGTTAGCAGCGGGAAAGCGTAAAAAAAAAATGTTGGTGCAAATTTCATAATTAAACGCTTTTAGACTTTGTTTAGTGCAACGTCGATATTATTATTATTGTTTACGTAATTATTTTTGTTATCTGTGATTTCTTAGTAAGATCTTTAATTGCACTCTTAACTTTTCTGATTATGTACATTAGGGTACATCACCTAATAAAAGTTGCGTTTTTTCCGATGAAAATTATATTATATTTTAAGACCTCCACCAAAGCATTTCGAGCTACTAGAGCTAGACCGATTTGAAAATACCCCCAAAAATTTTATTATTTTGCTACCGTTGATAAAATGCTTAAACATTTTTATGCAGACCTTTTAAGCTTAAACTCTCTCTATCATCTGAGTGGATTTTTTAGAAAAAATATTTTTATAAAAATATTGTATTTTATTTTTACAACAATATTTTTTTCAAATAGGTCCAGCTCACATAAATCTTAACATTTTTCCGAAATATTTTGGCGAAAATCTTAAAGTACATACATATGTATAATAAATTTTACATATCCGATGGAAAAACAGTGCCGATTTTATTTTGTTGTATGTGATGCACCCTAATGTGCGTATGTATATTTTTGTAAAGCATTTTATTTTTTGTGATGCCGCACCCCAAAGAGATGGAACGAAGGTATGAAATGAAGATACAAAATTTCTGTAGAATATGAAAATTCAACCAAAGCACCGAACAAACAAAAAAAGCCAAAAAATATGACAAAAAAAAAAACACCAATACCAAATACCAATTAGCATATAAAATATAACTTAAATAATTTTAGAAGAATACGAAAAAATAAAACAAAATTA